TAGAATGATAGCCATCTAGTACAATTACATTGAGAGGAGGAACAGCTTTCCTCCTAGTTTAGGTCGGCGCATAAGAGTTTACAGAGCACTGCAACTCTGACAGCAATTTCGGGGGTCAAAATGTGCCAAAAAACTTAGCCACTCTGGAATCGTAAGCTCTAAAGTTGATTCCTATCGCATAAGCGCAACAATGTGTTCGAGCACGAAGGATGAACACGTTGACCATAGCGCAATACGCATACGTCCCGCGCCTTGCAGGCTATGCGGGACGTTGCGAGACGTATGTGTCCCGCACTCAAATCAACCGTTCCTTCGCGTATGCGCAACTTCTTTTCAGGAGTGCTTACGAAAATTATGGGTAGTGATCATGATGGCAGAGGGGCGGTGCGGAGGACTAGCTCAGCGTGCTGCGGGTCGTGGTTGACTGCCTCTTAACGCCGTTCCACCAACGACATTCAATGACGTCATCAAAACCGCACCACTCTCCAGCCATTGCGATCGCTGCCTTTAAACCAAATCGAAATGCTTTCTAGTTTGAGTAATCCTTACGATAAGCGCACTAATAACTACATTGCAAAGAATACTATTTTCTTATGCGACAATGCTGAAGTGAGTTGTCTGCAAAATTTCGCTCACAACTATTTTCTATTTTGCAATTTTGAAACTATTTTTTTAATTGGCCACAGTCACACTTAGGCATGGTCACATAATTAATATAACATAATAGCATCATAATTTCGGAAAAACCGAAAGAAAAGAGAAGGAAAGCTGTGGCCCATGCACGGAAGAGGATCATATGAGTGTGATTCGTGTACGCGTCACGCCGTCGTCATGTTCAAGCTGTTGCCTAAAGGAGGACGTAACTCACCTTGATAGCACATATCCACAAATATACAGGCAGCATTCCCCACACAGAAAATATGAATTTCAGATGGAGAAGAAACTGCACCAACCGCGAATGCAAGCATATTTGTAAGAGATGAAATTACAATTGCTGGACCCGTCTGTGCTAGCACCTGAATGTGCAAATGAGCAGAATTGGAGCTGTTTCATGATGATACATACACGTGTATGGACCCGAAAATCGCTTGCGCCAGTACTTGGCGTTCATACTTGGTTAATCGCTTGCCAGGGGTTACTTGCAAAGTCCACGTATTGATTGTCTAGCGATCGCAGCATGGATATTGCATCCTTGCCAAATTTCAACATGAAGAAATCGTACCTGACCCATCATTTCAGGACGAGCTTGGGTTTTTTCATTACTCTTTCCGATACGATTCCACGCATGAACCATCAGAAAGGAGTCGTCAACGCTGATCGCCAGCACCTGAATCCTTTCCATTATCAACCTAATTCGGAACATTAGACCTTCATAGCCTTCAGAGATATAAAGCCTTTCTTCAATGACGAAAAAAAAAAAACAGTCAGAAACATCAACCCCTCTCCCTTCTACCCTTCCTCAATTGCCTAGGAGTGGGGGGAGGGTGTATCGGAACGTGTTCTCCAAAGATAACCGCATCAATTGCTACGTCGTAATATATTAGGTTGGAGGGTAAGTTTCAAAGATTTTAAATTTTATCTGCTCCGTCAGCTTAACGTTTGCGTACACAGGGTGTCCCATAAATATTGCACCAAATTTTGAGCTCAAATTCTGTAGGTGTTTATAGCTTTTCTTCCGAGATTGCAGACCTTTCAATCCTCTATCCTCTTGTCAATGACCATGCCAAATTCCACGGCTTACCGTTCGGCCTGCATCTCATGGTGCGCCTAAACTTCAACAGAGTGCCTAACCTCTCACACAGCTAGGTCGGACATCCGGTGATGAGCTTCTTTGGATTTTCAACCGCTCCGCGGCCTACCGTGCACTAAAGAGAAGACCAATAAAAGTAGTCTTTGTTGTGGCCGCCCCACAAGTTCTGACATCTTGGATCTCAGGAAAAGCATGAAGAAGCGAAACGACTGCAATACCCGGGTTGGCTCGAGAAAGGTGACCAGAACGCTGGAGTTTCTAAACACAGCCATGTAGAGAGTGGTCAGATAACAACTGCTCACAGTCCATTATAAGTTGCATAAGCACCACTGCTCAATCCAACGGGAGGAGCACAGCAGAGACAAAAAGTTCAAAGAACAGGTGTCGATTTTGACTTTTAGATTTTATGACTACTAGGCTATGTAATAGAAATCACTTACAAGAAATGGTGTCACGTGAAGGATCGGTGAGTTAGTCACTCCAATGAGGAATATCGCTCCTAGGGCTGTACCGCATGCCATGAATGGAACTATACATGCGGTGACGGAAAGGACCACCTAAAGTGAGAAAGTTGTTCACTTATTCTTGATGTAAATGGAATGGGT